AATTTTTTATTCCAAAAACATTTATTGAGCTCTTACTATATGCCAGGAATGGGGTTAGGCTCCAGGGATACATAAAAAGGGCTGCGACAAAAATATAAACTAAATACCATGGCACAGAGGAGACAGCATAATTCTGCCTAAGAGAGACTGAAAACTTCACTAAAAAGATGACATTTGAGCTCTGAAATATGCACAGGAATTTTCCTGGTGGAAAAAAGAAAGAACAGGAAAAGAACTTCAAATTTAAGGAATAGCATATGCAAAAGCAGGAGGTCCTAAAACGGTCTAATGTAATCAAGAAGTGACAAGCTCTTCAGACCAGGCATAGAATAGAATACATGATGGGAAATAAGTTGAAGCCAGCATAATTACAAGTGACTGTGAATTTATTCTCCAAACAGCAGCATTATGAATTCCTAAATCCACATTTTTAAGGTGATTCTATATATGGCTGGCTCTACCCTGCCTCACAACCTCACTTGGAATTGTAACAAATACATGCTCTGGAAAACTGCCAGTTGATTTGACAAAGAAAATTGATAGAACATACTTTCTTGAGCAGAGGGACTGTGGGTACCTTAATTAGAATTGAATGGGAAGCAAAATCCTGGAAATGGTGTGAGAAAAGAAAACAAATCCTATGTCTACAAAAAGATAAAATTATAGAGAAAATTCAGATAAAGGAAGAAACATTATAACCTGGGATACATTGGATGAACTAAATTGAGACCATTACGCGATGCACAAAGCAGGATGGACACAGTAGCAGGTATTTGAGAAAGGAGAACTAAGAACATCAACAACCATTTTTCTTCTGTACTTGTGCCTAAATTAAAAAGCTACTGCGGCTGGGCGCGGTCGCTCACGCCTGTAATCCCAGCACTTTGGGAGGCCGAGGCAGAGGAATCACCCAGGGTCGGGAGTTCAAGACCAGCCCGACCAACATGGAGAAACCCAGTCCCTACTAAAAATACAAAATTAGTCGGGCATGGGGGCACATGCCTGTAATTCCAATTACTCGGGAGGCTGAGGCAGGAGAATCGCTTGAATCTAGGAGGCAGAGGTTACGGTAAGCCAAGATTGTGCCACTGCACTCCAGCCTGGGCTACAGAGCAAGACTCCATCTAAAAAAAAAAAAAAAAAAAAAGCTATTGGCAATGTTTTACTTCATTGTTTGGGTGGAATGTTATAACTATATAAAACATATAATAGACTCCAAAGATTTTATTCTAAGACTTCCTGATCCATTCACTTAGTGTGGTCCAGTCTCTGAGTCATTTCTCTACAGATGAGAAATTCCATGATAAATGGGGAAACATGGGAGGCTTTTAAACAGACAAAAAGGGAGTAGTGTGACCAGATTTGTTTCTTAAAAGATAAACACTGGTGACAATATAAAGAAAGGCCTAGAGTTTAGAGAACCACTAGATTCTGTGATGCATAGTGAGTAAATGAAAACTGTAATGGCTTAGATGATGGTTTGTACAAAGAGTATAATAATAAATGAAAACCTAATAGCTGGACATTGCTGCTAGTTTTCCAATGAGAAAGGCAAGATGAGCTTGCAACAGCCAATGAGAGTTACTGTATCAGTGTGAACCATTCTTTTCACCGTATCTGCTGGTATATGGCATGCCTTATATGGTATGAGAGGACCTAGAAGAAGTCTGGTTAGTCTGGTCAGAAGACAGAGATTTGATCGTGCAATCCTGCAGGAAGCATTTGGAGGGAACGCACAGTAAAAGGCTACTTTTCATAGATAGTAAGATGGCTTTCAAATAGTCCCAGAAATGTTGGTAGTGTTCTGGAATAAATAATTGTAGCCATAATAGAATATCATTTTAGAAAGTCATCATATGAGTGAAAAACATGAAACACTTATATATTATTTCATGAGTACAGAACTCATTTGAGGAAACATCACCTTGGCTTGGCCATTAGATTTTCAGTTTCTTCTGTGACTGGTAATAATTAATCATTTTAACAAAAATCAAGATCATTAAGAAACTCAAAAGTCATCTATTAAGATTTATGCCTTATATAATAGATGTGCTTCTTAGATATTTCTTCAACATCAACCATTTAAATCCAGTACTTTTAAATGTCCTAAAAGGAAACTATTTATTTAAAGATTTCCTGTGATAAATGTTTGATAAAGGAAGGATCCTTTGGTAACATGAATAATTCTTCCATATTTATAGTTTAGTCACTTTGAATTTTCATATTCTGAATTATGCTTTCTTAAAGGGAATATATCCTGACTGGCAATGATTTTATGTTACAAAGTGCATATCTTATACTTATTTCAATTTTCAGTGCAAAATGAATGCAAACATTATTCCAATCACCTTTTTACCATAAATATGCCAAAATATCTTAGCCAATGAAAAACTCCCCATTGCTAAATACATGTTTTCATGAAAAACAAATTAGATGCATTTTCCTAAGGAAAAGAATTTAAATGCATTCTTTGAATCATGCTCTGCAATCTTTTTCCAAAGCAGCTTATGCTGTATCTTACAAAGTCAATGTTTACCAGTATATTTATATAATTTTCTTTCTTTTGTTTTCCCTCCATTTGGCAGAACACAGAGTACTATATAGGCATGTGTCTGAATATTTAGCCATGCTATGCCAGGAGTCCACACAATGCTTAGGACTGTTTAGTTTAACAAAGAATGTGTGGCTTTTGCATGTTCTGGCACGTATGAGTGTCTCCAAACCTCTGCTAATGGCAGAACATACTTGTCACTTGAAATTTACAAATGTGCAATGAGTTTAAACAAACCACCACCAATCTTATACTTGCTTCTTTTTTAAAACTTGATGCAAAAAAGTGATGAGTATTGGAAGCATAAAAAAGTACATCAAGATGTAGGGAAATAAACTGTAAGGTCACCTCTTTGTAGTTACCTTTTGAATTTCCCCATGTTCTGCTTCTAGCAAGGAGATAACATGAAGCTCAAAATATGATTTACAACCTCCATGTAAATCATTTACAAATGCTGGAACAACCAAATATGTAATAGTCAGCTGATCTGCCTATAGTTTATATCTAATTTGTGATCTTTGGGTTGGAATATCCTGCAGTTAAATTAGGTAAACATTTTAAAATTAGGGATTACTGACTTTAAACATAATAAACTATTTTTCCTTACATAAAGGAGAGCTAATGGGAAACTAATTTTTTGTCTGTGGATTTTTATGGATAACAAGGAGAATTTATAATATAGAAACAAGTGAAATGAACCATTCACTGGTGGAAGTAATATTATACATGCCAAACAAGCTATTTTACCTATATTGAGAAGTTTGCTTTGTCATCTATCCCAGTGCTTCTCAAATTTTAATAAAATGTTTGAGATGCTGTCAGAAATACAAATTCTGACTCAGTAGATATGGGTTCGTGGCCTGAGAACAAGTTCTCATGTGATAGTGTTACTACATTCTACAGACCGTACCTTGAAAGCAAGAATATAGATGGCTTTTAAATTTTAAGGATCTGCTCTGTATCCTCTCTTTTTGATGAATCGGTTAGCTCTTTCTAACTTTATTTTTACCTAGTTTACTTAGTATTCTTTGCAGACTTACAAGGATAGAGCATAAAGACTCAATAGTAGTATGGAAATAACATAAAATGTATTCCAAAGGCCTGTGTTTGAATTACAGTTCTTCTGTATCTAGATGTATAGTCTTTGCCTAGTGGCATCAACTCTCTGAGACAAAATTTTCTCTTAAGTAATTTGAGAACATGTAGTTATCTACTCAATGGAGCTGTATAAAAACAAATGACATTATACATGTGCAAACTTTAGAGGAGTACTATACATATTTTAGTTGTTGAAGTTATTACTATTATGTCACTGACTTATTGGACAACATTATTATTCTGTGTTTTACATGGTGTTGTGATGTATCTTGTATTCTCCTGATCACAATTTGAACCTTCTATCTTTCTTTTGAGTATTATAACTTGCCAGTCTGGAGTCGCAGGGTCTCTAATACATATTCAATGATTCCTCCCCCACCCACAGAGGGCAGTATTGTGAAGAGGGGGGGGGGGAAAGCATGAATTCTGAAATCATACATATGGAAATTGAGAATCTGAAAATTTTGTTTCTTTAATGGTATGCATGACTCAGTACCTCCTATAAGTGCTTTATGTACCATCAGGGGTACCCAAAGCCTTCTGACCTGGATTACTTTTCTTACTAAATTTATTTTTACAGGTAATACCTACCCCACTTTCAAGACTCAAGTCCAAAAGTACACTTCCATGAAGTTTTCCTGATCCATGTCCCACCCAACCTTTCTACTACACAAACACTCACAGCAGGATGTGACTTTCTGTCTTTTGAAAACTTATAATAAGATTCTTTAAGTAACATCCTTTTTTTATATATATATATACTTTAAGTTCTAGGGTACATGTGCACAACGTTCAGGTTTGTTACATATGTATACATGTGCCATGTTGGTGTGCTGCACCCATTAACTTGTCATTTACATTAGGGATAGCATTAGGAGATATACCTAAAGTAACATCCTTTTCTACAGGACTGGTCTATGATACAGATGTGAATTTCATTTTTAAATTGCCCTTTAAACAGTTAACTACATATCTGCCTGCCTTAAAATTTGTTACCCTGAAATACTTAGCACATTGCTTTGTAAATGCTGGGTACTCATTTAATTATTAAATTGAACTGTATTATAATTTCTTAGACTAGTTGTCTTTACACTTTTAATCATATACGCTCAGTGATTGAAAATTTCAAGCTTCTATTCTCAACACATTTATGTATAAATTTTACTTATACATATGCTTACTATATTATATTAATATGACATACACATATAAATATGCAAAAATTATAAGTCTAAAGGATATTTTGAAAGTTTTATTATGTAAAATAAAAAATAGAAATGCTAATTTTTTCCCAAATCCACTCATCAAAGTTTAGAATTCTCTGTCTTAAGAATATAACGAAGTAGCTTTTTTTCGCCACCTCGCCTCCCTCAGAGTCCCAGCTTGAGAAACACCTCTCTGCCCCGTCATGTCAAAGAGGAAAGTGACCTTCCAAGGTGTGGGAGATGAGGAAGATGAGAATGAAATCAGTGTTCCCAAGAAGAAGCTGGTGGACCCTGTGGCTGGGTCAGGGGGTCCTGGGGGCCACTTCAAAGGCAAACACTCTTTGGATAGCGATGAGGAGGATGATGATGATGGGGGGTCCAGCAAATACAACATCCTGGCCTCAGAGGATGTAGAAGGTCAGGAGGCAGCCACACTCCCCAGCGAGGGGGGTGTTCGGATCACACCCTTTAACCTGCAGGAGGAGATGGAGGAAGGCCACTTTGATACTGATGGCAACTACTTACTGAACCGGGATGCTCAGATCCGAGACAGCTGGCTGGACAACATTGACTGGGTGAAGATCCGGGAGCGGCCACCTGGCCAGCACCAGGCCTCAGACTCGGAGGAGGAAGACAGCTTGGGCCAGACCCCAATGAGTGTCCAAGCCCTCTTGGAGGGACTTTTGGAGCTCCTGTTGCCTAGAGAGACAGTGGCTGGGGCACTGAGGCGTCTAGGGGCCCGAGGAGGAGGCAAAGGGAGCAGCAGCAAGGGGCCTGGGCGACCCAGTTCCCCTCAGCGCCTGGACCGGCTCTCCGGGTTGGCCTACCAGATAGTGGCCCGGGGCAACCTTGGTGTGTACCAGGAAACAAGGGAACGGTTGGCTATGCGGCTGAAGGGTTTGGGGTGTCAGACCCTGGGACCCCACAATCCAACACCCCCACCCTCCCTGGACATGTTTGCTGAGTAAGTGGCAGAGGAGGAACTGGAGACCCCAACCCCTAACCAGAGAGGAGAAGCAGAGTCGCCAGGAGATGCTCTGGTGGATGTGATGTGGGAATATAAGTGGGAGAACACGGGGGATGCCGAGCCGTATGGGCCCTTCACCAGCGCCCAGATGCAGACCTGGGTGAGTGAAGGCTACTTCCCGGACGGTGTTTATTGCCGGAAGCTGGACCCCCCCTGGTGGTCAGTTCTACAACTCCAAACGCATTGACTTTGACCTCTACACCTGAGACTGTTGCGGGCCCAGTTTGGTGGGTCCTTCTTTCCTGGACTTTGTGGAAGAGGCACCAAGTGTCTCAGGCAGTGAGGAAATTGGAGGCCATTTTTCAGTCAATTCCCCTTTCCCAATAAAAGCCTTTAGTTGTGTTAAAAAAAAAAAAAAAAAGAAAAGAAAAAGAATATAACGAGGTAAATACTGACTTCTCTTCTACATTACTACATATCTAGTGTCCGAATAATTCATTGAAATATTATTCTGTATGCTTACTCTTCAATTTTACTACTGAGTTTAGAAAACAGAAAAAGGAAAAATAATTCTGAACCAGGAACTCTTCCTGTTTTCTATAAACTCTAAGTGCATTGAGAAGATGAAATCAGGTGCCATGGAGGAAGACATGAGAGCACGGGGGAGAGGAAAGGAGCAGGGAAAGGAGAAGACAAAGAGAGAGAGGGTACATTGGTAGATCCCTGGTGTAGAAAGAGTGGGAAAGGCACCTGGTCTCAGGATTACTAAAGAACTGAATCTCATTCTCACTCTATCAGACAGCTGAGTTAGCAGGCTGTGGAAAGGGTGACTGGATGGTGGAACCATGTTCCTAAACCTGGCAAAGATCTTCCTAAAGCTCAGGTGACATCAAAGCAGAGAATTTTTGGATTTCACAAGACTACCCAGGGTTGGACCTGGGTATATCAGCAGTCTGATAACAGTCTGCCAGTTCTGGACACTAAACGGTACCCCCAGTTCCGAAGGCTTTGATAGAAAAAAAGAGCCCTAATAATGACTGAGATGAAATCTAATGCCAGCCAGGCTGGATGCAATTGCAAAATCAAAATAAAGATGATTTAAAACAAGGATGTGATTATTCTTGCACACCTGAGTATATGTACCCAGGTATTTATACCTACCACATGTTCTATCTTGCATCCACTACTTCTTTGCATAGCTGTTTTGGTATCTCTTTTGATGGCACTTTTTGATTCTCCCATTTCTCATTGGTAACATTTAGAATAGTTCCTCGTACGTATTATGTTCTCAGTCAATATGTTTAAGAGATGAATTCATTTATTAGAAACTGTTATTCATCTTATAAATTATAGGTGTTTATATCTGATTTTGTTTTTATAATTAAACTCTTATTAATTCAGCTTTTTGATCACAACTACCAAACACCCAAAATCAAAGGTGTTGAAATTAAGAAGTGGCAACCTTCCTAGCAAAAGTTAAAGTAAATTAGACGAAAATTGTAACATCAGAAATGTAAAATGATGGTGAAGGCCAACTCATGGTGACCATAAGTAGCAGGTGCTATCACACAAAGGCTAAATGACAAGTGGTTAAAATAATACTATGTAAGTGATTACCAAGGAAATAGAATCCTTTTTCATTATTACAAGATAAGCTTGTTTTTCTGGCTAGAGAGGTTTTGATATCCTATCCATGCTACCAAATGTGTTTGCTAATAATAAGACTAAATGTATATTTCAGTTTATCATTAAGTAAAATTGTCTTTCTAGGTGACATTATCACACAAAACAAAACCTACTATTTTAATAGGAAGTGAGGATAGTTACATTTTACTTTGAAAATATTTAAAATAAGTTGATTATTGAATAATTATCTTCTATGTGAAGTTTTGCTCATTCACACAAGTAACTCCAATCTAACTCAGTAATTAAATCTTTAACCACAACTTGGATCTGAATCTACTCATTGTGTCCTTTCAATGCATTGTATAATATGTCAGTTTGCTCCAGAGTGCTTCACAAAATTACATCTTCCCATCTAGAATCTGATTCTTTTGCTTCAGGGGACAATAGGTTCTACTGAAACATCTTAAGGAGTCTGATATGTTATGTGTCTGATGAAACACAATTACTAACTCCTGTTTCCACATGCCCACAGTCCTTTAACCCTGCTTACATATTTAATAGAAGTGAAATGGGGCAAACCCACACCTTGTCTACATCTATTAAATTCTACTTAAGTTCCTGAACATCCTATAAGTTAGACACATCTTTTAGAAGTGTCTTGTAGGAAAAATACGTAGAAGGCATATAAATGGAAAAGATAGATACTAGTTACAAGAAAAATAGTAGTTAGAAAAGAATTATTGGATTACAGAGATTAGCAAAAATAGTAGAAATGATAATCATCTCTTCCCCTTTCCTATCCTTCTGAAGGTGAGTTGCACTAGATCGGTGCCCTTCCTCTGCTGGCATTTCCCCCATCTTGTTTACCACATCTTACATTACTAAGGGAAAAGAGAGAAGCATGGAAGCATTCTCTCTAAGAGATCTTTGTAATTATTGGTCTCATACACATACATGCTGAGAATATTTGAATTGGTAGGACGTACAATTAATTTTTTATAATTAAGGCATAAGAAATTAACTAAACTAAGTCGTTCTTATAAGAAGCTTAATAACCCATAATCTTTTATTATGTCTTATAAGGAATGGGGTGATAATTTTATATGCTATTTATTAGATTAGCACATTATTTCAAGCCATGAAGTCTCACTGAATAACAAAAACATTCATTTTTTGAGACTTGGTTAGAAACTCAATATGTGAAGGACCTGTTTATTACTAACGTTTTCTAAAGCCATTCAGCCAATTACATTTTGTGGGAAAACAATTTCTCATGCCCTTAATAACCTTTTTATCTTCCATGGAGCTCAGTATATTTTACCCAGTAATATATTAACGCTATATGTCTATGAATTCCAATGAAAAAAATCTAAACAAATTTGGAAAAATTGGTTATGTTAAGGTTATATTAGGTCAAAAATAAGCCCCCAGAAGAGCACTGGACTCAAGCGAATAAAAACATTCCATTCATGGACCACTTGAACATGTACTACAGAGGTCTGTAGCTTAGAGAAAAAATTTAATTTCTTTGCCTTGAAGGAACATGTTAAAACTACCTCCATCCTGGTTGGTATGGGTATTGGGATTATGTTCCTGGCTAGATCCATGCTTAGTGACGTTAACCATCATGGTTAGTGGGGTTGTCATTGAGAAAGGCAACATATAAATCTGTTTCAAGGAGTTTAGTTATTTGAGCTTCATATTTGCAGGTTCACTGTGTTCGTATATTCCTGGAGGAGTAGAACCTAAGTCTACAACTAAGCTTGCATCGAATAATATGAACAAAATAATGTAAATGATATGAAGAATTAAATAGCTTTAAATGTGAATTTCAAAAATTTATATTACCTGAAATCTACCCCAAGAATTAAGCTGAGACCCAACATTGTTAACCATTTACAGTGATTAAAACTACATCTCTCCCTTTATTTATTACCTGGAACTCTTGTAAACAGCAACTATATCTCTTTTAGAAGAGTATAAACAATCACATGTTAAAAAAACATGATATCTTACTCTCATTAAGCATTCTAAAGGCATTTTGAGGAATATATAGGACACAACTTCTAGGGACTGTGGATTCTTGAAAGAATGCTTGCAATTTTCTAAGATTTCATATAGCAATAACACTTTTATATAAAACAAATACAGCATTATCAGAGAAAATGGTCAGCATGATGTCTTGGTAACTGCCTTCATGAGCTTACAAAGTTAAATAATATTTTAAATGCATAACTATGTGTAAAAAAAGGGTAGATGGCAAAAACTACAAATGACTTTGGGATCCTGGGTAGGGAGGTAAAAGGGAACTGGCGCAGATAAAGGCTCAAGGAAAAGCAAAAATTTACTCTCAACCTAGAATAATTGGATAGAATTGAAATGGGTAAAAAAAAAAAAAAAAATGAAGAACACTCTCAATAAAAGGAAAGAGATCTTCACAATTCTTATTTAGTGTCTAGAAAAAAGTAAGAGGCTGAACAAGAAGCCCTAAAGTGTTTAGGAGGTGGTGAGGAAATTATATTTCCTCTACTGAAAACTACAAATTATTTTCTTCCAGGGAGAATGTGTGTCTTTTTATACTTTGCTTAGCAAGAAGGGAAGAGTAGATAAATTTCATTAAAAATAAATGTAAAAAGATGTGTCTATATCAAAGGCATAATCAAGCATGGATCCAAAACATATTTGCTCTCTTTGAAACAAATGTTGAAAAATTTACTTGTATAGAAAGGTTAAAAATTCTAGTCAACAGGTATCATTATGTGTGGAAGACAGCAGAGAAAACAGCAATACAAAATAACTAATATTTTTAAATGCCAGCAAAGATTAAAGATCTTTAAAAGTTATTTTCCAATAGGTCTTCTACTTTCCTCTACAAACAATTCATTTTTCATTAAGGTCTATATGGCTTGGATAAGACTTATGAAAGCCATCACTTAAAATTAGAATATAGATGTTTTTACATTTTTCTGACAAGTCATATATAGTGAATCAGTATCAGTTCTCTCTTTTAGTGTTTGGAGTAAATCCTTAAATAAAACAAAAGACCTTTAATTTTTATTACTTAAATGCTTACTGCATAGTTTAATTTTTAATGTGGACTCTTAGATGATGCCAAGTTTTATTAAGATTGACACACCTCTACTAGAATTAGCACAAATTAATATAAAAATCAATGAATCCCTTCTCTCAAATTCCCAATGTGAATAAGATGCAGCATCCCCTCACATCAAGAAATGACCAAAAACCATTCAGTGAGAATGAGATACAAATAAGCATTATAGGCTGTTAAAACAGACAGTGGGGGTCTAAAGGTTATAATTTTGTTACATTTTTAGTATAATGTAACATCAAAGCTTGAATAATTTATTTCTTTTTTTCTTTCCCTTTTTCCTTATAATCTTTTAAACCAACAGCATTAATGATAAATGGTATATGTCAAACTCTAATAACTAAAAAATCCCATGCCTTTCTGAAACAGTCTCCTATATCCAATGCCATTTGGGTATATGTGAGGTACGTTGTACTCTTTGGCAGACTTTAAAAATATATATATGCCACATTAAAATAAACAGACAAAATTGATGTGATATGTATCTGATAAAATCTGACCAGAAAGACCCTCTCATTGCATTTATAATGG